GAGAGAGAGGGGACTGACGACGGGAGGGAGGAGAGAACCTCCGGCTCCCGATCCCTCAGGCGGCTATGACCGCCGATCTTGCTCAGTCGCCGCTGCTGCTGCTCCGCTCGCTGCCGCTGCTGCGCTGCTCCTCGTGTCTTGCGCTAAACTTAGCGCTAGCGCTCTGGCGCTAGACCTTAACGCACCGCGTAGACTGCCGGTGGTTCGATCCCTGGAGTGAGGCCAGACCGGTACCTTTGTACCGGTGGGGCAGAGGCCGGCCTCTATGCTGCGAGGCCTGGCCGTGCCCTGAACCGTCCAGATGGACGGTTCAGCCCCAACCGGCGGGCGGCAGCCTCAAGAGCGCCGCCAGRCCCAAACGGTAATGTCGTTTGGGCCTGCCCGTCGGGTCTGGTCCAAGATGAGGCCTTTACGGCCTGTAGTACCCCAAGGTCGGGCCTTTAGGCCCTAATGTGTCCCTCTGGCCCTAAGTCGGGTCCGGTAGGACCCGTGTGGCGTCGAAGATGTAACAGGTGTCCTCCCTGTAGGAGGGCGTGACCACGACGACGCAGAAGGCAACATATGAAAAGACAGCAAGTGACGCGTCAAGGACAAAACAATGCGTGATGGGACCTCAGACAAAGTACACTTAGAGACATCATAGACACCCCAAGGAAAGGGGGGAGCGGAGGAAACATAGCTAGCCCATAGTCAGAGGAAGCACATAAAGGCCTGCTCAGAGCAGGGGCTGAAGTCAGGCGTGTATGGGCCTCCTCTGACCACAGGGAAGAGGAGGGAACAGAAAGAGGGAAGAGGGGTAGAGGTCGGATGCATAGGGGCCTGGGAGCACAGAGACACATAAGGGAACATAGGGAAACACTGGTCGTTCAGCAGTACGAAGGCCAGCCTATAGGACAACCACCTCAGCTTTGTAGTGTGATCTCTTGGATCCGGTTTCCAGGGGGCAAGGAAGAGGTAGAAATGGAGAGAGACAGAGGGGAACACAGGAAATGGGGGTCCTTCAGCAGTGTGAAGGCCAGCCTACAGGGCAACAACCTCAGCCGTGACTGTAACTTTTGGGACGCTGGATCCGGTTTCCCAGCAGGAGCAAGGAAGGAGTAGAAACAGAGAGAGACAGAAGGAACATAGGAAACACTGGGCCTTCAGCAGCACGAAGGCCAGCCTATAGGACAACAACCTCTGCTTTGTATTGTAATACGTGGGATGCTGGACCTGGTTTCCGGCAGGTGCAGCCCCCCACCAATAGATGGAGCCTTCATCTGGGGGACCACTTGCACCAGTGAACTCGCCCGCCCCAGGTCATTCAGAAGTGTTTTCATTTAAAAAAAAAAAAAGGGAGACATTCCAACACTGAAAGTCTGAAACAGTTTTACCACGATACTATAATATAATAATTGGTTGCAGTTCTTAGTGCGCTGATCTTGAGTTTCATCTTTCGGCTTCATGTGTGAACTCTCATGTGCATGTTCTGCTTGTGCATGCTGAGTTCAGTGTTGATTTTGGGGAGGTCCATTGCATGTTCTGCTTCAATATGGATTTAAGGATTTTGCAGTTGGGGAGTTGTGTAAAGAGGCCCTCAGTCTCCATGGGCACACGACGGGAATAAAAGTAGGGAGCCGAGACGTTTCCTTGGCCGGATGTGTGACACTTAAAAAGTTTATAACTTTAAGCATTGTCAGGTCATGGATAGACTCTGCGGGGCCCGGTCCCCGCCTTAGATGAAGGCAGTGACCGGCGAGAGTTGGGAAGTTTTTTTTTTTTTTTTTGAAGGGGACATGAGGATTTCTTGTGCTGCTTCGAGTACGCTGTGTGACATTGATGAATTTCTCAAAAAGAAAAAAAAGGGAGAAAAATGCTAGTATTTCTCACGGTCCCTGAATGTGTACAATACAGGAGGTCATCCTGCATAGTACTATGTTGTACTAACCAGGATTTACTCCTGCATAGCAGAAGTACTATGCAAGCACTATGTGGTACTATGCAAGTCCTATGGGCTGCTATGCAAGTACTATGCGGTACTATGCAAGTACTATGCACGTACTGTGCACGTACTATGCAGTACGATGAGTAGTGTGCAGTACTGCTATGCAGCTTCACGGTGAGCACTATGAGGATCGATTTCCCATTATGCCCCCATTCAACACATCCTCGTCCCCGATGGCAGGCTGCCACTGAAACCAGACTCGCATCTTCTTCTCACTTCGCATGCATGCAAACAGATGGCAAAGCACACTGGCGCCAGGCGCCCACACAAAGCTCAGAGATATTCAAGCCGAGAACACAGTTCGGATACAAACTCGCTTCAATTGGCTTTGGCGCCCGAGCGCCCACACTTCATTTCCCAACTCTGTATTCACGGCAACTGTTCACACGCACTCAACTCTGGATCTCCCTGGATATCCCACGCACACACACTCTGTATTACACACACACACACACACTCTCTCTACCACCTATCGCTAGCTATGGCAGCTATGGCCGCCGGCTACAACTAACTACAAGCAGCGATGGCTGCTCTGACTCCGGCTCAGCCCACTTCAACTTCGGCATCTGCAGACCGCCTCGCTCAAGACACTAGGGCAGCGCTTCCGCATGACTCACGCAGAATGAATGAATGGCTGGACGCTGCCCCTTTCCACCGGGCCCAAGGTGCACACAGTCCCACATGGTACTTGCTCACTGGACAAAGTGAGACTGGGACTGGGTACCGCTGACTAAGCAAAGTTGGACTACCCACTTGCCCGCTTGTCTCTGGCCTAACGTGAGCAATACTCGAAAGGCCACTTCCGGACCTTCCGGAAGTCTGTGGACTTGACCTTTCGAGGCTGTGGCAGCTACAACCTTGACCTTTCCGGACTGTAGCAGCTACGACCTTGACCTTTCAGAGTTGCAACAGCTATGACCCCTACTCGACAGATCTACGGTTCAAGACCCGACAGCTACACAGACCTATGACAGACAACAGTCGGCTACCAAAAGACAGGTCACGGGTTCAAAACGCACAGGGGTCGACTTGATACTGTACACGGGTGAGGTAAGGTCTAGGGATCGAGCCCTGCGATCTGCATCTGTTACTGCAAAGGTGAAAACCGTTTCACCACAGATTTTTGCCAAAAAAAAAAAACAGAAAAACAAAAAAACGAATCCTACCTCGCCCCATTGAAAGCAACTAGGAGAGGTGGAGCAAGGGAAGTATCCATACAGCCGTTATTCAAGTCCAAAATATATAAACTTTTATAAAGCCATACATACAGAACATTCGAACAAGCACAGCTGCCCATGGACCCAACATGACCAGATACACATCCGTGGCCTGGTGGGCAAACAAATCTTCACAGCTTTATTCGAGTGCATGGCATACATACCATTATAACAAGAACTTGTTGCGGCGACCCAAACACAACCATATAGCCGCCTGCAGTCTTCTTTTGCATTTTTCAATCTGCACATGTCTGATCCAGTCGAAGTCGGACAGACCGAATGAATGAGTCAGAATGAAATAAACAAGGAGAAAGAGATTGTATTTCCTTAAATTTTCACAAAGAATTTGGACCATACCAACGGACCTAGCTCAGTCAGTACACCGGGCACACCAATGAACTGTTCAAATTTAGACGCAAGTTCGAACCCAGATAGAAAAAGAGTAATCTGCCTATATTTAGGGCGATTTTCATGTCTGATTTCAAGTTAATAGCCCTGTATAGGCTGTATTCTATTAAACCACCCATTCATATGAGCCTAAGTTGATGAAGCTACCTTCCAAAGTTTGCGAGCCTGCAACTGCGCCTTTTTAAAGTGGCTCGCCTTTTTTGCTACTGGCCCAGGCCCGGAGCAGAAGAGTACCGCATAGACCGGCAAGGCCACAACTTTGCCTTGCATGAACTGGTGGTTTAATGGGAAGACATATACCAATTTTACGAGGGTCCCTTTGACAGACATGCAAAATAGGAAGTTCCTCATTGGATACTAGCGCATTTAGTCTGACGACTCTGAACTTCAAGACTTGACCTTGAATCATGCGCAAGTACAGGAGTCTTCACCACCACCGTTGTAGGCATCATTCAGTCTAGCTCTGAAACAACCACCCCATTTTGGAAACAGGTATGGTTATCATAGGGCCTCCAATTTGTCATTTGGTTCGTTATATGGGCAAATCTGGTGGCCACAGTTTTTTCGTAACTCCACCGAAATCAGCCCCGGCCCAGAGGTCAGTCATGAAGAAAGGACTGGAGATTTAAAAGGCAAAGGATGAAAACAACCTCATTGTAAGTATCATATGATTCAGTGAGGTTGTCAAGGGCCAAAGCGTGCAATCACCCAGCTGTGTCAGCTATCAATGCTCTGAAGCCGTTCAGAACAACTCCACATGAGAAACTATTTCCCAGACTCTGAAACCTTGAACTCAAACCAGATGCCAGTCAGATGATCCTTCCAATCATTGACTTTGGTAAGCATACTTCAACCAAGCTTTGACAAGTCCAAAAAAGTTCAAGCTTCTTCTTCTTCTTCTTCGTCTTCTTCTTTCTTGTAGTCTTTATTCTTCCCTCTTCTTTCTACTTCCTTTTCTTTTTTCTTCCTTCTTCTTCCTTCTTCTTCTTTCTTCCTTCTTCTTTCTTCCTTCTTCTTTCTTCTTCTTTCTTCTTCGTTCTTCTTCGTCTTGTAATGACCTGCAAAATTACAGACCGCCGGAACGTGTGACTTGCTGAGATTCCCACTTTCTGCTGAGATTTTTAAGTCTGTGTGTGAGCGTGCTTGCTGGTTTCCGTGTGTTTGTCGGAGTACATGATTGCTTGGGTGTGTGTGTGACCCGCCAGGGTACTCGTATGTTTGGAAGGGCCTCAGGCCTGGTACTTACCTGTGGCCGTGTCTTTGTGGGTTGCAGCGGGGTGTAGTGGTAGGCTAGGCCCTCGTGGTTGGAAAACTCTCAAGTAGCGGGTAGGTTAGGCCGGCGTAGGTAGGAGAATACTTGAATAGCGGGTAGGTAGGCAGAAGAGGACAAAAAGTTAGTATCATTAAAAGCCGAGTGAATTTTAGGGGTCCAGTAGTGTTTGGTCTAGGGGTACCGGTCCAGTAGTCTGAGTCTAGGGCCTGTAGCGTCCGACATCAGACGTGCAATGATGTTTCCCTCCCAAAGGAGGAAGGTACCGGATGCTTGGGAGGCCGAGAGGCCTGGAAAGTCACCGCCCAAGAGGCAGCCGCTCGGTATCTCACCAGGAAGAGTGAAGTGCTCCTCTTCATTTTGCGGTGTGCAAGTTTGGCGTCACTCTGCTGGAGCGAGAGCACTTGGCCAGTCCAACGCTGGGGGAGGAAGAAGGAGACCTGGCCTTCCATTTCAAGCTATGGTGGAGTGGACCAGCGAGGAGGAGGAAGGTGGGCTAGGAGGAGGAAGAAGGTGGGCTAGGAGGAGGAAGAAAGTGGGCTAGGAGGAGAGTGACAGGGGTACTTACCTGGCTATGGTGGACGGCATCTTCATCTTGTTGGTTGGCGCTGCACCTGGAAGGCCACAGTGGACATGCACTTCAAGGAAGGTTTCAGGGCATGGTGGTCATAGTACATGGGACATATCAGCTTTGCGTTGCTCTTTGAACATCGGGGCTAGGCCCCACTAGTCCGCCATAGCCACCTACTGTCGAAGAGGAGGAAGAAGGTGTAGGTCGTTGCTATGGTGGACCTCATGTGTTGCTGGCAGTAAAGAGGAGATTCGGACATTGGTTCTGGTTCAGTCTTTCATTGTCATTATTATTATTTGTTGTATTGAAGAGGTTGGGGGAGATAAGGAGGTTGAAAGTGATGGCGATTTGGACTCTTTGGAGGAGGATTTGACATTGGTCTTTGATGGTGTACATCTTCTTCTTCTTCTTCTTCTTCTTCTTCTTCTTCTTCTTATTATTATTATTATTATTATTATTATTATTATTATTATTATTATTATTCTTCCTCCTCCTCCTCCTCCTCCTCCTCCTCCTCCTCCTCCTCCTCCTCCTCCTCCTCTTCTTCTTCTTCTTCTTCTTCTTCTTCTTCTTCTTCTTCCTTTGCCTATTTCTCTTTCCAAGTTCCCTCATTTCAGTTGCAATTGAACGGCATTGCCTTTCTTTGTGTTACTGCAATTTGAAATAGCCAGGATCATAACAGTCTTCTCCTTCTTCTCCTTCTCTAAAATGAAACGCTTATGTTCCGTCCATCTGGTGAAGGAGGGCCTATGAATGGAAATGCTTTACATACTCACCAACAATTGGAGTGCATTGCTCAATCCAATCACATGCGAAAGCAGTATCTCGGCAATCGTCTTCATAATTCATCCGGCAACAGTCGTCATTTTGATCGCATTTCGATGGTATGCACATCGCCTTAAACTCGCATAAGTTAGCTCGATCCTGATCAAGAATTGAAGAGCATGCACTTTCACTGCCTTGGCCCTGGGAACAGTAGTCAAAAGCTGTGGACATAGTGGCAAACTAAATGTGTCAGTTTTCTTTCTCTTTGTTCTCCTCAACAAAATGATTCCTACTAAAACCCGGATGGCTGCAGTGGTCATCGCTTGCTTTCTGAAGCTCTAGATTGGCATTACCATCACATTCACCCCCCTGTACATCCTTTTCCTAGCACCAATTCCACATGCACACTTCTGAAAAGCCTTGAGCAGTGCACCCAATCCATTCTAGCTATTGTTTTTTTTCTTTTCTTTTCAGCCTACCTATTGCTCATCATGTTCATGTTCCATACTAACCTTGCCAATCCTTACCGTCTGCATCAGCAGAACCCCCTCGAGCTGCTTCTGACTTTTTCCCACACCATCATCGCCATGGCCATTTCTTGTCTGATATACAAGATTGTTGCCTGCTGCAGCTAGACTCGCAGCAACTGAGAGGGGAGGGAACCAGTCCTTCAGGACATCCGTTTAAATTGGAATGTTACAGAGAAGATTAGCATGGCCCCTGCGCAAGGGTGACACGTGTAAATCGAGAAACAGTCCAAATTTCCTGGGCCAGAATAGTACTGGGATGGGTGACCTCCTGGGAAGTCAAGGTGAGGAAAAATAAAGGACTAGAAAAAAGAAAAATAAAAAAAGAGGGGAGGGAAGCAAGTGTGTGGAGAGATAAGGATCATAAGGGGGAAAAAGACCCCAAAAAATAACTGGGTTGAGCATCCAGAATGATCTGGATGCTCTGCACGATGAGCAACTTGAGCCCAAGAAAGTGCAAAAAAACAGGAAAAAATGACATGCCGTATAAATACCCAATTGCAGAGCATCCAGATCACCAGTCTCAATCAATGATGACAACGGAATTGAGATAGCAACAAGTGATGACGACCGCGAGAAGAAGACGAGAAGGGCCATACAACATAGACAAATGACTTAAACGTACAAGTTTCTTCTCCTTCTTCTTCCTCACGACAGCTCTCTCACCGTCTCAACTCTTCCTTTCATCTCCCTACTCCTCCGCCAAACCCGACCGATTGTCCCTCTTCAAGCAATCTCTGTCTAGCGCTTGCCTATGCAAGGGTAGAGCCATAATCCTGAACCTTGAAATGGCAATGCCTGTCCTTAGAAGCAGCATGGGGTCTCCTTCTTCAATCATGACCACATTGCCACCCTGAAGGTGTGGTGACCTTTCCTCTCATTCCTTAACCTCAGCAACAACAGTGCCAAACTCGCTCCACATCACAAGTGTTGCATGCTGGGGCCTACTACACGGGCCCCTAAGAGGGCCGACTGTTGCACTTCAGCGCCCAGGCTGCGCGTCCCTGTATTCCGGGCGACCTGGAGGGCCATGACCATTTTCTTCTAGGCCTGCGTCATTTTTGTCCCATTCGCTTTCTTTCCTTCAACATTTTTATTTTTTTGATTTATTTAGTTAGCGTTTATTTATTGATTTTAGATGCTGAGCTTGTTTGGAACTGACTTTGTCTGGTCTTTTATTGTCTGTTCCTGTTACATGCTGCGCCTGCAACAGGCTGCACGGGCCATTTCCAGGCCCGTGACGTTTTCAGGCCAAAAGCCTGAAAACAAGGGCCTACAGGCCCTGTGTCGTTTCAGCCTGAAAGCCTGAAAACGAGGGCCTACAGGCCCTGTGTCGTTTCAGGCTAAATCAGGGCCTTTCCGGCCCGGAGTGTTTTCAGCCTGAAACTGAGGGCCATTTCCAGGCCCTCATGAGTTCGGCATGCCCCGAAAGGGTTTCAGCTCAGGCCATTTCTGGCCTATTTTCAAGACAACCTTTATTTGAGCTTCAACCTCAGGGTCTGGCACGTTGAGACATTGGCAAGAGCAGCCTCCTGGACGGGCCAGCACTACATAGGACTGGCCCGCCCTGCAGGCAGGTAGGTAGTTCATAGGGACTTCCCAGACACTTCACGTGCAGTTCAGGAGGCAGGAGGTAGTCTTCAGGATTCGGCAGCAGCACTCTGGAGGAGCACTGCAGGAGTAGTATTAGCGCTAGCAGTAGTCTTCAGCGCTGGGCGCTTTGTAGCATTAGCAGTAGTCTTCAGCGCTGGGCTCCATAGCTAGAGTAGTACCATAGAGAGAGAGAGAGATTGGGCGGAGGCCAGAGGGACTTACCTGCAGCGCCGTTGCTCCAGCTTCGTCTTCAAGGTACCTACAGCACAGCGCCACCTTCACAGGTTAGTACCTGGCTTATGAGAGAGAGAGAGTTCTTCTTCTTCCTCCTCTCAGTCCACCATCTCCCTCTCACCCTCTCGATATCTGACTTCCAGAGGTCGCCAAACAAATTTTTCCTCCCACCCATATCCGACCCAATCCAAGCCTTCATATATCATGTGTACCCGCACCCAGTGCCACCCACATCACCCCACCCGAGCTAATTAATTTTTTTTTGTACCCGTGCCCAGTTCACCCAGCATCTGCAGTAGAATCCTTACCCAGACCCAGCCACACCCAGGCCGAAAATTTCTCCACCCGCATCCGCCCGCACCCACGACCAATTTTCATCCACCCATGCCCAGCCGTACCCATGCCCAAAGTTTACGACCCACCATGCACTTCTTTTCTTCCCCGATTTCAAACTTAGGTTTTTGCATGTTAGAAATTCACTTTCCATCTTCAAACCACCGCACCCGCGACAAATTTGTTTTCAATAATTCGATAAGACAGGTAGGGGCAACGGGAAGGAAAGAAATATGTGGAGGGCAGGTAGGGGCAACGGGAAAAAAAGAAAAGAAAAGAAAAAATGGTTATGAACCTTGCCGTTGGTCGATCATCCGACGACGACCATGTTCGCTCAAGAACAACCCCACTCTCTCTCTCTCTCTCTCTCTCTCTCTCTCTCTCTCTCTCTCTCTCTCTCTCTCTCTCTCTCTCTCTCTCTCTCTCTCTCTCTGTGCGTCCCATGTGCGTGTATGCGTGTCAAAAGCCGACGTCACACACTCAGCTGGCATCCTGCAATCTGGGTGTTGATTTCTTCTTCTCCACACCTAGCACTATGTTGTCCTTGCCCCTCACGCCTACAGCCGTTGTCCCTTTCTGCACTGCTTCCAGAGCATACTTCACTTGGAATAGATGACCGTCTGGCGAAAAGACCCATTTTGACAGCCTCTCACCAGCTTATATGTGTCTGTATGTATTTGTTCCGTATATATACCAAGCTGGGAGGATAGAAACCGACGAACAGTGAAGCCCCACTCTCTCTCTCTCTAAGCATGTAAGCCATGTTCGACTACAGAGCATTCCTCATGCATCTGGACGGTTCAACAACCAAGTACATTAAAAAAACACCGTTTGAATGTACTCGGTCGATGAAACAGTCCACATACTTTTTTTTCCCGACATCCGTGTTCTTTTTTTTTTTTTTTTTTT